ATAGCACTGATTTTATGGCATGAAGGTATCCAAAAGAACATACAAACTGCATGCATCTAGTCTCCCTGGTGGAAAAGAAAAGCACACCACACAGGACTGCAAGGCCACAACTACCAAGCAATAGAGAAGAACCTAATGCAACTTTTTATGCCTGACAATAAAATCTGTGGGCTAAGGAGAATGTAAAAAGATTTAAACAAAAAGAGAAAGAAGAAACAAACATAAGCGATGTGCAGTTTTGTGTAGGAAATACCGGCTTGAAAGGATAACTGCATTATACAGCTCTATAAAGTTATCCTATAACCTCCCCCCCAAAAAAGCTTATGCTGGCCATACACAAGTAGATTTTCACACTAGTAGATTTTCACAGAAACATTCGTACAGTAATTCTTAGTACATTAGATGACTTGACGAATGTCATTTGAAATTACGGTTTGCTTTTAACATTTTATTTGGAACAAATTGACTTTACTGAATGAAAACTGCATGAACATTTACATAATCTTATCAATGTAAGCCAATGTGGTAATACATATCCATAATTGAGACAAAAGGTGTGCTGTTGCGACAGTGAGCTTTAGTTTAGCCAATGGAAAGAACAGTTGGCAGGTTTTGAAAGCCTGTTGACAATTCTGATACCTGTAACAGTAATCAATGGGAAAATTTCTTAACATCTGTGTTGCATTTAGGAAGCTGCAGATTTTGATTTTCTTTGATGCTGTAGGCAATAAGCCTGTCAAATCCTTGCTGGACACAACAACCCAATGCTTAAACAGAGGTGTATAGTAAGCTCTTGAACCAAATGCCCAGGTACATTTATATTTTTCCTTTCAAAATGTAATCAGGCCAAGTGCAAAGTGGATAAGGGTTACCCAAAGGGTGCAACAATGGAAACATGTGACTGCTGTGGGACCCAAAACCATAAAGATTGCTTGTGTTGTCAAGGTTCACATCAACCTTGTTGCACGTTAACTAAGGATGCTCAGAATATACTCAGTCATTGACATGAGAAATGTGGAGATTCACTGCTTTAGGATACTACAGCAGAATGCCTTACATTTCTACCTCGACATCTTAGAAACTCGCTTCGGTCCTGCGAATAGTATGGAAAGGCTACTTTTTCTTAACATAAAAAATATAACATGTCTCTGTGTAAATGTAAGAAATGTAAGAACCCATTGATGGGTTTGAAAGTTGGGAAGGAATGACCAGTTTCTAAGACCTGTAAAATTCAACCCCAGATCTACTATAAGAACTATTAAAGTGGTTGTAAAGGCTCAAGGTCTTTTACCTTCATGCATTCTACACAAGGTTAAAAAAAAAACCACCTGTGTGCAGCAGCCCCTCTAACCCCCCCCCCCCACTCCCCCGCAATACCATCCTGAGCCCCATCACGATCCAGCGATGTCCATGAAAGCCTTGGCTCTCTGGGGTCTCTCCCTCCTCATTGGCTGAGACAGCAGCGGGTGCCACTGGCTTCCGCTGCTGTCAATCACAGCCAGAGAGCCAAATGAGGAGAGAGGGCTGAGCTGAGCTGCTGCGTGTGTGTGTGTGTGTGTGTGTGTGTGAATTGAAACAGAGCCGCGGCTCAAGAGTGAGCCTGTTTCAATGATCTCATAGCAAGTTAGCGTGCTCTGGGGGCACTCGGCAAGAGGGAGGGGCCAGGAGTGCTGGCGGGGGAACTGATAAGAGGAAGATCAGTGCAAAACCGCTGCATAGAGCAGGCAAGTATAACATGTTATTTAAAAAGAAAAAAAAAAAACAAAAAAAAAAAAACTACCTTTAATTCCACGTTAAGTCTGGGAAACCCATACAGTAGGATTCCATGATAGGTAAACCAGAACTTCCACTACAACTCCTAACGTGACCAAACAGCTACTAGTAACACAGTCCTTGCTAAAGACTGTACAAAAGGGTGAACAGATGAGCCCTATGATCACCTATAGGTCAGTTCTGTGAAGAAAATTGCTAAATTGCCAGTCACTAACCCATGCACGGGATCACCGTTGAGTGGGACAGGGTAGCGGGCTGATGACATGCTGTCCGACTTAGCCAGAGGATGCTTTGTTTTCATTCACAGAATAAAAAGCTGCCTATGAATGGTTGAGAGCTACTCAGACCAACTCTGCATTGTTTCTAGTGTGAGACTAGAAGTCTCTGTCTCACAGCCAGAACCCAGAACTGTGTACTGTATGTAGCTAAAGCTACATGCGCTACATACTGTACAGTGATTAGAGCCAGCGCAGCACTTGGTGAATAGTTATTTTCAACCAGCTTGGTCCAAACAAAGTCACAGAAAACCTGGAGTAGATCAGCTATAAGTTATGTAGATCATTACTTCTAGATACTGAGCCTGTAGAACTAACAGAACATTCATATTGAATTGCTACAACATGTTCTGTTACGAGCGTATCATAACATACCAAATCAGCGACAAGGGTCAGAGTGATGAGTCAAGACACCACATCTACTGGCTGCAATACTGACTATAACCCACACGTGGTGTAGGATAAGTATCACACGAATGACTCGCCTGTCTGTGCAGCAATCTGGCCTGGTTTATGCTATTATATAGAACTTGGGGCTCAAAAATATCCAGGCGAAGGGCCAGTTTACAGTCCTTTAGATTTTGGAGGCGGTGAGGGCAGACTGTAGCCAGTGGCAGTAGGAGATGTCCCAGGACCAGTGAGAGTAAACAATGCCTCAGGCTTAAGTGGGAGTAAAAAATTACATAGCACCTGTGGTCAGTAGGAGGAAAAACGGTGCCCCATCATTGGTATTAAAAGGACGAATAGTGCCCCATTGTGGTGTCAGTGGAAGAAAGGAAGGATTGGTGTTGTATCAGTGGGAGGAATAGTTCTAAGGGCTGGATAAAAGCAAACAAAGGGATGCATTCGGCCTGAGGGCCACAGTTTGGAGACCACGGTTATAGAACAGACACTATGAAAGAGTATAGTGACCACACCAAGTCATGTAAAGGGCCTAGAGTTGAAATCGATATGGCTTCATGCATTGTGCTAAAACAAGAATACATCCACCGCAGGAAGAGCTACACAAATACAACATATGATGCCAAAAACTCTTAAGCTACTTCATGAGTTGCACGCTTTACCAAGAAAAATTATTTTTTAACATTCCGCCAATGGTAGATGACTGGAAGCATGTCATATAACCCTACCAGTTTTAGGCACAGGGAATGCATCTAGTAATGCCAGAATACGGATTTACTGCTGAATGAAAACTCAACAACCAGTAACACTGAGCCACCCGTGTACATATACAAGGACAAGTAAAATCAAAGTGATAGATGAATAAAGAACTGACTCTAATGTCACACATGTAAAATAATATTAACAAAAGTAGCTGAGAAAAGCCCAGATATGCACCCTTCCAGGTCTAATGTTCCAGAAATCATGGGGAGCATATACAGGGAGGACCCTGCAACTAGCATGAAGGCCTGTGGGAAAACAAACCATTTCCATGTTTCTGTTAGGCCAGAGGAGACTGGGTGATGGCAATCTTATGGATTTCTGGTTTTAGGTAAGCAGAAACTCTCTCGTGCCGTTCTGGAACATGATTGGTAGAGAAAGAATCCACATTTTTACTTAATTTACACTGTACGCATGTAAACTTTAGTGCTAACTTTTACATCTGTACAGCATAATGAATCCGCTATTTAGGGCTGACATGTAAACCGTGAGCACTCAGTGGGTGCCACCATTGATTATAGGTGGTGTACATATATCTGAATGAGTCAATCATTGATGGTGGGGTATGTGCAGAATGACCCCAGCCTTCATTCATCAATTCATTCATCGAATGCTGAGGTAATTCTGTGAATGGCTGCTGCTGTATGAATAGCTCATTCAGGGATGACTACGTAAATGTATCCAACATTCGGTCAGAAAGAAGCAATGTAAAGCTTAACCAAGATAAAAGGGGCATACTGCTAACAGGTATGTCCGTTAAAGGAGCTTACAGTCTAATATATACACACACACACACTAGGCCCAATTTAGACAGAGACCAGTTAACCTACCAACACGTCTTTGCAGTGTGGAAGGAAACCCCCACAAGCAGAGCGAGAAAATGCAAACTCATTTATAAAGCAGTGAACCTGACATTTAAAGCAAGTGAATCTTCCAGGTACATGCGGTTCAAATTGCCATGATTAAAATCACCGCTAGTGAATTTTTGGTTTTCGGTTTTCTAAATAGGCCGCAAAGTGTATAGGTAGCTATTCACCGGAGTGTACACTGTGGAACCTGGCAGTGTAACACCTGCTAATCGCTCCCTTTTGAAGCCTGTGGATACAGACCTTTATAGACACTGCTCTATTCTACCAAGAAAACCACAGCAGCCAAAACACTTGCATAACCCATATAGCAGAGATTTAAATGAACATTCAGGAGGAGAAAAAAAAACCAAACACACTACATTTAACTGCCAGTTACTAAAAGTAGATTAAATACCTTTTTGCAATATGCTCAACACCACTATCTTGTTTTACAGGTTACAGCTTACATAAATCTGGGGATTAAATGGCAACTATAATAAATGGTATGGTTATCCTGTACAAGAAAGCAAACTTATCGACTATCATATGCAGCAAAGTGGTCAGTAGTGTTGTACTGATGAAGGGGGGCACTATCACGATGGAGTTTTTTATATTCAGCTATTCTTTGTTACATTTTATGTCAACAAGGCAGACAAGGAACAAGGACAACCATAGGTTCACAATAGTACATAGGTATATAGTTATGAGGTTAAGAATACAAATGTACATTCAAACAGTACAACATGAACCATGGGGGGAGGGGTGTATGATGGAGTTTTAATCTCCATCCACAATACAAAAACATAAATTGCATATAAACCTTAACGCACCTCTCTGATATACATACATACACTATTGCCAAAAGTATTGGGACAGCCCTCCAAATCATTGGATTCAGGTGTTTTAATCACGGCCACAGGTGTATAAAATCAAGCACCTAGGCATTCACACTGCTTCTACAAACATTTGTGAAAGAATGGGTCACTGTCAGGAGCTCAGTGAATTGAAGCATGGTACAGTAATAGGTTGCCATTAGTGAAATTTCCTGGCTACTAAATATTCCATGGTCAACTGTTAGTGGTATTATATCAAAGTGGAAGCAACTGGGAACAACAGCAACTCAGCCACAAAGTGGTAGGCCACGTAAAATTACAGAGCGGGGTCAGTGCATGCTGAAGCACACAGTGCACAGAAGTCGCCAACTATCTGCAGAATCAATAGCTAAAAACCTCCAAACTTCGTGTGGCCTTCAGATTAGCACAACCGTGTGTAGAGCTTCATGGAATGGGTTTCCATGGCCGAGCAGCTGCTTCCAAGCCTTACATCACCTTACATCAAGTGCAATGCAAAGCATCGGATGCAGTGGTGTAAAGCACACTGCCACTGGACTCTGGAGTGATGAATCACGCTTCTGGCTGGCAATCCGATGAACATGTCTGGGTTTGGCAGTTGCCAGGGAAACGGTACTAGCCGGACTACATTGTGCCAAGTGTAAAGTTTGGTAGAGGGGGGATTATGGTGTGGGGTAATTTTTCAGGGGTTGGGGTTAGGCTTGGCCCCTTAGTTCCAGTGGAATTAACTCTTATGGTGTCAGCATACCAAGACATTTTGGAAAATTTCATGCTCCCAACTTTGTGGGAAAAGTTTGGGGATGGCCCCTTCCTGTTCCAACATGACTGTGCACCAGTGCACAAAGCAAGGTCCATAAAGACATGGATGAGCGAGTTTGGGGTGGAGGAACTTAAGTATCCTGCACAGTCTCCTGACCTCAACCTGATAGAACACCTTTGGGAAGAATTAGAACGGAGACTACGAGCCAGGCCTTCTCGTACGACATCAGTGCCTGACCTCACAAATGTGCTTCTGGAAGAATGGTCAAACATTCCCATAGACACTCCTAAACCTTGTAGATGGCCTTCCCAGAAGAGTTGAAGCTGTTATAGCCGCAAAGGGTGGGCCGACTCAATATCGAACCCTAGGGACCAAGACTGGGATGCCATTAAAGTTCATGTGCATGTAAAGGCAGGCGTCCCAATACTTTTGGCAATATATCGTGTACACACACACACATCCTGCCAGAACTTTTGCAAGCTGATCCTGAGCATTCCACATGGGCTGCACTATTAACGGTTACAAATTACCCACTTCTCTGAGCTACATAACATTACATGTTATGAGGGAGGTGTTATGTAGTCCCAATCTGTCCTGTCCTAGGGGGACTATGCTGCTCCAGCATACAGTACAGTGAGTGTTGCCACTCTAGTAAAGAAGCGTTACCAGCAGTGGGGGGAAAAACCCCCCAAATGAAGCCATCACATCTACGTTCTGGTAGGCTGCAATATATCACATTTTTTTTTCTTGGGTTAACATATGCTTTTATCAAGATCCTGTCTAAAATTGCTTTGCCTCTGTGGCTCTAAGACAGATAGGAAAGAGAATATTAAATCGGACACAGAGTGATGTCAATAACCACATTTTCATGGTTACATGCTGCGTTGTGTCTGCAGCATACACACTCTCCAACAATATGACTATCATACAGAACAGAATTAAGCAACACCTGACAAATATCACAAACAAGTAAAATGAATGCTGATAAGTAACAAGCAGGACTGTCAAGGGTATCTGGCTGGTAAGGTTAAGAAGCTGAATTTTTGTAATGCAGAGCTTTAATACTGCAGTGTTATGAATTTGCCAAGGTATCAGACACTGAGCAAGCATGAGTTGTGCAGAGTTCACATTGTGACGCTTTTATGTTACCACAGCACTCTAGTACACTAGTCACCAAGAACTTTACTTTAATTCCTGGTTTCCACACAAAGGGCAAAGAGCAAAAAGAAGGGAAATAACATTTACAGTAATCCGAGTACACCTCCATGACAGAAAATAGGATACAGCCGTCCATTCTCTGAGTTCAGTTCACTTAGGCTGCATTCACACTAGAGCGTTTTGTAGCTTGAAGCTCAAAAAAAAGCTCAAACTTTAAAAAAAAAAAAAAAAAAAAAAAAAAAAAAAAAATCAATTGTCTCTCCATGGTGCCTGTTCACACCTGATCCTGCGAACAGGCACCATACAGAACTGATTTTTTTAAGTTTGAGCTTTTTTTTAGAGCTTCAAGCTTTAGAACGCTCAAGTGTGAATGCAGCCTCAGAGTCGGACATAGGTAACCTCTCTAACAGCAATTGGCAGCACAGTTCTACGTCAGAGGTCTTACTAAACCTTGCCTGAAATTGTACAGAAGGCTATGCTGGGATCTGATGTTGGAATCTTGCTATATTTCGATTCACTTCCTAACCAAGAAATGTAACAGGCAGTGAAAGGAAATCTTTACAAAGTGAGGAGATCCACCTCCTGAATACGGTCCATGGATGTCCCTATTGGATGATTTACTGTTGCCTCTTGATCTGGTGACAAATATCACATCACTATCTAAGCGACAATGCTCCCTAGGACAAGCGGGGGAATCTACTTAGCCAGCAAAAGGATTATAACTGGACAGTGATTCTAATTCTTCTCCACATTATCCAAAAACTAAAAAAGGATTTGGATATACAGATACTTTAAAATATGTCTAGGCAAAACTTTTTATTTTAATCTTTGAGTGGGAAGGGTTAACCCTCCTAAAAAGGTTTATTTTTGCTTGTTTCCCCATTGGGGAAATTCAGGCCACCTTTCTACTGGTGAAAAAAAAAAAAAAAAAAAATGGTGATACTTATGTTGGGACCACAAAGGGAATATGTCAGTTTGATGTAACTTCCTGTAACATCACTGGGACAGGAAGTGAAAGGAAATTCCCCCAATGGTTTACAGTTAGCAAAAATAAACCCTTCTAACCTTTAAAAGGAAGCTGCCATTTTAGCCTCTGATCTGCAGTTGCTATGTTACTGCACATGTGATCAGTTGTGAAATAACTAGATGAAACAATAGGATGCAGAGAGCTCCTTGCTCATTCACACAACTACACTGCAAATTTAAAGATTGTTCCCACAGTCAAGGTGACTACAGTGTTTAGTTGTGACTAACTAAAAAAAAAAAAATGCATCACATGGGTTTATGTGAGCTGGAACAAACCCAAGCCAAAACGCTGATACTGCAGATGTGCTATTTCATTTCTGAATTATGACCTTGAACACAAAAGAAAATAAAAAAAAAAAAAAAAAAAAAAAAAAAAAAAAGAACAAAATCAGGTAATCCAACCCTGCGGCTGAGCAAATGTTTCTATACCAAAAGCATTTATGTGCTCAACTCCTTTGTCTTTCACTGCACCTTCACACTGCAAATACGTAGGCCTGACTGTACATAGAAACAACCATACATTATATTTTCTTGTACTCTAGACTGCTATAGTAGCCCCAAAGACTAAACTACAAAGTAAATATACTCAAAGCTTCTATAAACAAGAAAAAAAACTGGACAACATTAATGTACAGTAACAAACTTTCTTTTGCTTAGCTTTTTAAACTCTTCAACTGTATTTCATAGGAATGGTTCAAGAACTTCCATAAGGATTACAAGACATTTTGAAAGAAAAAAAAAAAGCATTCAGCGCTCAAACACACCACTCAAGGTTATAAATACAGGGTGGAAAATGACCTTAACACATGCACAAGAACCCAGTAATAGAATATTGTGACAAGATTCCATAGGGAGTTGCAAATGAATCTTTTACTAAAGATTTCAGATAACAGAAAAAGCACACAAAGATACTCTTACAGTATTACCACCTGCAGCAGAAACCTGCAACATTTTGACACTTGGAAATGCAAATTGCCATAACAATTGCCCTGACTCTTAGACCAGAAGAAATAAAAAGTAGTACCTAAAGAAATGTAAAGTAAAAAAAAAAAAAAAAAAGTTGAAAACAAGTAAATATTAGAATACTTTATTTACTAATACTAGTAGCAGAAAGATTAAAAATGGACAATGTTAACTGAAAGAGTGAAGTTCCTCTTCAAATTCAGGGCTGACATACATACTAATAAACATTTCACAAAGCAGCACAGGTTTTTAATATGTATCAAGACCCCTTGAATACATAGTCTATTTTTTGGAAAAGGTGAACTTGGCCTTTAGCCCTGGTACACACCACAGCAACTTCAAAGCAGTAAATGAAGTTGCACAAAAATAGTGCAGGAAGCTTTTTGAGTTAAGATTTAAACTGTTCCACTGCCGGTAACGGCATGCGACTTGTCATGCAACTTCGAACTCTCAGGGCACGTTCACACCATGGTGTAGAGACATCAGTTTTTCCACACACGTTCTGCAAGGGCACAACGAAATCAATTGTTGTCTATGTGCACTGCTCACACCACAACACTAGTATCACATGCAGATTATTTTCTGCATATAAAACTCATTGAAGAGCGCATGTAAACTAAATGTCTCTGGAAGTCTACACGTCAGTTTCCATCAGTTTTTCTGCACGTATGGTGTGAATGAGGCCTCAAGTAGCATGACAAGACGCACTGCTGGGAACCAGGTGTTAAAGTATATGCATAGCCAAAATGTTTTGTTTTAGAGTAGGGAAAAGTTATAAAGCAGAACTAAACCCATCGAATTAGCCCTGGTTCACATCACTGCAACTTCAAGTGCGACATGAGATTTAAAAATCACACCTGAAGTTGCATCTAATGTATTTCAATGGCCCTGTCTTAGTCAGTGCGGTTTGAAGTAGCGCAATTTCAAAATAGTTCCTGCACTACTTTTTTTCTGATTTCATTGCGACTTGCATTGACTTCTGTTAAATTAAGTTGCAAGCCACAGTGAAATCGGGAGGTACAAATTTGACTGATCTGCAGCTTTGAAATTGCGCTACTTCAAGTGAAGTAGCGCAATTTCAAAGTTGCATTCAGTGTGAACCAAGGCTTAAAAACAGTTACATTGCAGGCATGCCAGGAACGTAACTGTCACATTTGTGTTCTCAACCAAACGCTCAGTCACTGGTCACACCGCCGCGATTTAAAATTTCGTGATTTGTGCGCAATTTCAACGTGATTTCTGAAGAATTTGAGGTAGATTTATTAAGCCCTGGTTCACACTTGGTGTGACTTGGCATACAATTTGCATGCACTGCAAATTGAAAATCGCATGCCAAGTCGCACCCTATTGTCTGCAATTGGAGCAGTGATAACTGCGGTTCTGACTTGGTCGGAGCCGCACCGATTTAAAAAAGTAGAACATGCACTACTTTTGGTAGGATTTGCACAGACATCTGTATTAATGTCTTGCAAATCGTACCTGAAATTGGCAGGTCCCCTGACTTTGATATCATGCGATTTCACTGTAAGTCGCATGATTTCAAAGTCAGGCTTGATGTGAACGGGGGCTGAAACTGGAGAGTGCAAAATCTGGTGCACCATGGTAGCCAACTTCTAACTTCAGCTTGTTCAATTAAGCTTTGCCAAAAAAAAAAAAATGGAATGATTTCTTTGCAGAGCTACACCAGATTTTGTGCTCTTCAGTT